ACTTACAGGTAAAATGTCTTCTAATTCTAAACAAAGGTTTTTTGATAATTTTGTTTGAAACGAAAAAAGGTCGTTCCCAAACAAATTTATATTCTTATCTACACTAAATCTTATCTTAAATTACTATATACAATTTGTTTATATTGATATCTTGAAATTTTATTTCGATGGATTTTTTTATTCAATATAAATACGATATTCAATCAAAATGTAAAAAAGTATAACAAATTATCAAATAAAATAAAGAGAAACGTATAAAGGGCATTTACCAAAGAGAAAAACAACGCGTTCATCGAAGTCTTTGAGGGCGTATACATGTTCTCGGCAAGAGAAAGAAATATTGGACTAGGCCCAGTCACTAGTCGTCTGCGTTCGACCTCTACCTACCTAACCAAATTAAAAGATAGTTTGTGGACCAATAAATCAGCCACTGGTGGTACGGTCTGATCACGGGCCCCGATAGCGCAATGCCGAAGTACGCCAATGTGACAAGCAATACATTTTTCTCGATGGCGTGCTAATTAGAAGCGAAATAATAAATATATTTACTGTCGATGTTGAAATTGATGGATAAATCATTTCTCAGAAATCGTTAAACAAGCCTCCGAGCGAAAATTAAGCTACAGGATGAAGTTCTAAAAGTAACGCTGATCATGTTAAAGCTACATAGATTATTGTCACAGTTAGACTGGTCACATGTTTAGCAAGTTTTTCAATATCTTCTCTAAATCGGGTAATTGTGATATTTTTGGGCTAAAAACCCAATTCGATTTCTGAATATTAATGATTTTATTTCATTTGAATTGGTGGTAACTGTAACTGTCCAGTGGAAAACGGAATCTTGAATTCTTCCAGTTACTTGCTGGTCAATGTTATTAGGACTTCCCGTGGTATTAGTAAAGAACACAAGACCGTAAATAATCTCATACAAATCTGTAGGTATACCCAAAAATATTTTCATTTCGTCAGTAATGATATCCTTTCAATGCCGAATCCGAGCTTGAATTAACTTAGTTCTTTCTGTTTTTTTTTGTGAAACGAATTTGTTGGTTTCTTAACAATTAATTGGAAAAAAACCAATAGGCTGGTTATCATGCATACCTGACACATAAAACACTGTAGAATCATTAGGTATATTATCACCTGTATAACTACCCCATTCAAATTTTCTAACAAGACTTTCAATTGCTTCATCGATTAGATTTTGTAAGACTACTAACAGGATTAGTTTCCAATGGTCAGCACGATTTTCTTGTTTAACACTTTTCATTTGTACTTCAAATTATGTACTGGGTTGATCTTTGTTAAAAGAGATATTAGAAGCATTTAGCATCTTTTTTTATTCTTTTTTTTTTAACAGGAGAGGAAGAATAATTAGATGATTCGGAAAATCACTATGTTCGATATATACCGATATCGATATATACCACTTCAATTAATACTTAAACACCTTGTAAAACACGCCAGTCACGATCTGAAATAAATGCGTCTAAGTTTTAAGGGGATACTTATCTCTACGAGCGGAAGCAAGGCTTACTAGTTCCACTAGTCTGAACGGAGTGGTTTCGCCCTCGCGGGTTTTCAAGAGGGTAGGAAAAATTGGGAGAACGGGATGAAGAATATCCAGGTTTCAGTTCTTGTAAAGAGTTGAATCTATGGGCTGGCTTTAGAAGCCGGAGGAATGTATAAGCGAAAATGTGTTCTCGTCTAGTCTCTACCTGTAAACGGTCGGGAAAGAATAATAATACCAAATTTCCAAATTACCAAATTACCAAGTTTACAATGTATTAAATAAACTGTATACTACAACTAAGACAAGATATCAGTTATAACTAATTATTCAGACGCGGGGGAGACGAGAAGAGACCTTAGCAAGAACACTAAAGGGTGGACAATCTACGATTAATATATATTCCCCTGGGTTAGTAATTTTGTTTAGTTACCTTCGCGTACTTAGGCCCTAGCTAATGAATACGCCTTTCCAGTCCAACTGGAATTCAGGAACCGTCTGTTGAGGGTAATGTACGCTATCACGAATTTTTCGAGATACGAAATATCCGGCACTTATACGGTACTACTGTCCCGTCGGAATACAATAACGCGCTCACTGGTTCCGCGTAATTATTGCCCCGGTCGCCAGCGATTACTGGCATTTTTTATGTCCCGCGAACATTCCTAGTTTTTTTGCTGATTCTGCCGTTTGTTCCATGTGTTAAAATGGGTCATGCGATGGTGTGTCGCTTCGTTGTATTATTTTCCAACGAAGGTCTATGGTTTCGTAATTTTTAAATATTCGGAGTTGCCCTGGTTTCGAGCTTGTGTAGTACACGTTAAACTAGGTCGAATTTTCATTCTTTGTTTAATATAAAATGTATAAGTTAAACTATGTCGAATTTTTTATTCTATATTTAATTTGGAATATATAATAATTATCTAAATAATTATTACTCTTTTCTAGGCTAACTACCCCTTATTTTTTTTCTTTTATTTCCTTGCTATGTTACATTACAACCTCTTCACCTGACAACATATCTATCATCCATTATTTCTTTGATGGTTTTCATAATCACCCATTTTTCCCTATTTTATTACTAATATACTGTTACTACGATAATAAGTTGATCCGAATATGCAGATTCATTTTGCAAATTTGCGAGGCACGTATAGATCGTTTGGCCTCAACTTGACAATTTTATTTCTTGGGCGCGCAATAAACGTGGCTTCTTTAAAATTTAGTTTATGCGTTTTAAATGAATAACCCAATTGGCCTGGAAGAAGGCAAACGAAACGTGTTACGAAAGATAATAATACCGAACAAAGGCTGAGACTCGCGTATTATTGCACAGGAAGTGAAAACTAATATACAGCTCTTCTTAAAACGCTAGGAATTTCTGCTAAATTAATCGGATTGGTAAAACTAAGATAAAAATTGACACCAAATAGTTACAGTAGATGAGTAGAGGAAGAAATGTCACGAACTTTTAACATAGGAACGATTGTATTACATTTTTAGTTATGATCCACCGTGTAGAGCAACACAAATTTCATATGCGTTATGGTGCGGACAATAACAAAATTAAAATTTATTTTTAGGTTAGTTCGTTGGATGGTATGAAAGTTGCGTACCACGAAATATCATACGTCAATTTCCTAAGGCGGTGTACTCGGTACATAATTTTATGATCGCAATAGGAAGATATTTTAAATCCAATAACGGGACAAAACATACTCTTACAAAGTGGGAAAAATTCAGAAAGTCTCAACTTTATTTTATTTGATCAGGCGTTTTTTTTAAGTTTTATAAAACATATTTTTTAAATACATCTAAATATCACGCTCTAATTTTTTAAATACCTATATCTGAGTACTCGATAGATATATTTATACCTAAACAGTTGCATCTATTCGATTCTATTAGGTCGATGACATTCTTACCTGCAATTAAACCCTTGAACCAGAAAATTGCATGAATTACATTGCAAGTAGATATTATTTTATTTCAGTTACTCAGCACACAATGATGATAATTTTTACCGCTATATAGAGAGAGTAGGCTTAGTCGATATTTTCTACTGGTATGGCAATATTTCTTATCGGCATTGGATTTAATGTACTCCTAATAAGTAACTCCTAAAAAGTTACCCAGCAGTTTTTTTTAATCAGTAAAAGTTTTAAAATCCGTCAATTTAAATTATATGCCCACTGCCATAATATGAGTAATCCACTATATCCGCTGCACTTTTATTCTAGGATATCCTTTTAAGACACTAACAAATCCAGCGTGAACATCAAAACATTCATTCGTAACTATGTAACTATGGGTACATTCCTAAATATGTGCCCAGAAAATTTAGTGTACAGGGTGGACTGAGAATTTGAAATATTAAAGTATATAACAAATGTGTGGCAATAGGAAACATAGACAATACATAGAAAGCAGGTAAAAGTAGCACTTTTATTCTGTATGGTAGGTACTAATACAGAAAAAGTAATATTTATTGTTAAAACAATTATATATGGCCAAAACAATGAGAGGGTAAATTGGCAGTAGATTGACGATATGTTAGTTTTTCTAGTGATTTTTCGGTCATGCTATAAAATTATACATACAAATCTCAGGTATTTGTTACAGTTAGTCAAATATTGGCATCAGTAGTTAGTTAAAAGAGAAGGATATACATTATGGGAAAAAGGATAGAGCAGATATTGACGCTGTAGAGTAAACTTCTATATAGTACAAATTAGTATAAGGTAATCTTTGAACGGGAATAGAAAAGTGGTATTGCACGCGATTCCATGGTATATGGTTGTTATGTGTATACACTGAGACCTTTGCAGAACTATTGTGCTTCCCTTTTATCTCCTCATCTAGCCTTATAAGATTCCACAGTCTTGAGAGTCGTCTCTCCATGATGTTTCTGCTTTTGTCTCTAAGTTATAGATACTGGTCTAGCAAGGCCTTCACAATGGTATAAAACGAATTCTTATCCTGTCAACACAACCTATAAAAAGCAAACTTCTGTTAAACTCATTGACTCAAATGAGCCTACAGTATTCAGAAAGCAGTCCCACTATTATTATAATAACCTTTCGGCTATAATTTCGTAGGTCTACTGTAAATTTGAGGTCCCCTTGAGTCTGTATGTCCCCGGGCTACACTAGTGTCAATCTTTTTCGACTTCCAACCCAAGTAAGAACCTATAAACATTAACGCACAATCTTTATGTTAACCTCTACGTAACTGCGTGACTTTAGGGCTGCTTGACTGTCCGAGTAAATTACAATTGTATTGTAAAGGAACATTGTTATCGGAAGTTTTATGTTTCCGTACCCCGAAAACGATGTACCTTTAAAAAACACCTACCATGAAACTTCTATTTATTCACAATATTGTAGTCTCTATCTGCAGTTCTACTAGATTGATTTACAAAACTCAACACCTTCTGCCTTTGGTATCGTTCCATAAATTCCATCTGTTGTACCTATTTCAGTTCTGTTACCAACGTTGCCATTACTGGTGGCCAGGTTTTCCAGTCTAGATTTTCTAATATAGTCTTACTTGGACTGTCCTTTACGATTATATGAGTCTGATCCTGTAACATTCTGTCTAATGTAGACTTGGCTTCTTCCTGCACATATTTGTGCCAAGGGTAAAAGTTCAGTAGAACTTCCAGCGCCTCCTTTAAGACAATTCCCATAAATCCCATGATACGCAGTAGTCGAACTGTCTCAGACTGCTGTTTTGTTCCACCATTATGGGTCTTATTAACCTTTGGTCCAGAACATGACGGTAAAAATATATTACATATTATTCGTAAACCTCTAAGTTTTTTTATATCCACTGAATTGTTTATAAAAAAATTCAATGGATCAAACATCAAAATCTACTATATGGCAATAGTGCTTCTCCTCTGGTAGTAGTTACCAACACCAGAGTGGTTAAAAAAGCATGTTTTTAAACGGTTTTTTCGCAAATAACTCCAAAAATTAAATCTTAATCGTTTTAAATCTTATAAAACTTCTCAACTCTTCTTAAAACGAAAGGCTTGAAAAAACTTATATACATTAGTTGGTAGCTATTAAAATAAACTACAAAAGTGTGTACTTTCAATTTTTTTCAAGCCCTTAGTTTTAAAAAGGATTGCGCTGAAATGGCTTGAAGATGGCGCTAAACACATTCGAATTTAATCTTTAGAGAATCATATCTCTGTTAATTTTTAGTCTATAGAAATAAAAAACAAATCAAAATCTTCAGAAAACAAGCTGTTTTATTGTATTGTACTGTATTTTCTGAAGTACTGCTTATTATATATTTTCTGTATTTTTTTAGTTGTTGAGAACTTTTGGTTTGTTGAGAAATTCCGAAAATAGTGTCTTCATCGGATTTTTTAAAACTAAACCTTCTAAACCGATTAAACTTCCAGAATGTAATATATGTATACATATTCAGTAAATTGTAAATTAACAACGAAAATTTTCAACCAGGGTCGTTTTGGCGGTGATGAGGGTGTTACTTTCTGCGTCACAAAAAATAATAGCCCTTCATTTTCATGGAAATTACTTTTACCAGTGGTCATATTAAAGATTTTTTAAGAGCTTTGAAAAGTTTCAATAAGTTTTCGATAAAAATCTTCCCGTTTTCGTGTTATTAAACATCATATGGTTGAAGTTTTGTATTCGATGAATAAAAGTCCATTTTCGAACTCATAACTTAATATAAAAATATTGATTTAAAAAAACCTCTGAAAAACAATTGTCTATTCACTATTCTGTCGTCTAGCATTATTTTTTTAAATAAACTTAGTCTACTACGCCCAGAGGGTGTATGCACATATTGGCATAAGGTAGATTTTGATCTTTGAGCTATTTTCTAACTACTATCAAAATTTTAAGCAAATCCATGCATATAAAAAAATCTAAGCAGAAACACGTCATATTCGGGATTACTTGTATTTAATCATAGGTTTATTGGGTGTATATATCATAAGTATAGTAAGTTAGTTAGAGATGGCCATGAGTAGATTTAGCCAATTTATCATTTCATCTGTATGGGGCGAGATAAGATTAGTTCCATCTCTTGCGACACACACCGAGTAAAGTCACGTTAAGTTTCAACTCTGAAAGGCACATCATATCTTATACTTAGTTGTACGTGAGTTAAGTTTGCATTGGTACAATATTTTGGTAAAATGGATAACCTTGCTTTATTTTACAAGTTTGCTTTAAACGGACAAGCTTAATTTTATTCAATGTAATGCTTTTGCATTTAAAGTAGATGAATTTTATTAAAAAAAAACAGTTAGATACTCGTTCCACGTTAAATACAAATAAAAACAATCCGTGTTTTATGTTTATTCAGAGAGATTTTTCATTGACTCTGTTTTTCTGTTTGATGTATGAATTAGTACATCACATGAATATGCTACATAAATAGAACTAGACCTCTTGTTGCTTTCTGCACATACGATGACGTTTTTATAAGAAATGAGGACATCGGAAAGGGAGTATACATTCAGTCTAGAACACGCTGGTTTCTCCCCTTCGAATTTAGTATATATATTACGACATACTATACAAAGAAAAAGAAAATAATTATGGAGACTATGGTAAGATCTATTTATAGCTAGTGAAGTAGAAACAGAGAATATCACAAATACATTTAATTATAATTCATTAAGATCTACACAATTGAAATATGCGACGTTACCCGATAACATAAAAATAAATATTACAATAAAAAGTAAAGTATTACAAAGGTGATTATATAAAGCGACAATAATAAAAACAGTCAGAATCTTATAAGAGAACCAATATTGATCATCGCAGAAATCATTTCATTCAGAAATTTCATTTGTTGAAATACAAATTTAATGTCTCATTTGTTAATGTTATCTGTCAATGTTAATTGTTTCTTATTACAATTGAATGTCAAATATTTAAGGCTATCTCTCCTGAAACTCCTTCCTATAACTGGTGGTCTGGTGTGATTAATAATGACTCAGGTCTTACAAGTGTTGGCGGTGTCTTAATATCACACTTACAGTAATAATGTGGTAGACTTTTTCAATCATATACTGGGCCAGAGTCTTGAGTTAGTTAGAAATATACGTAATGAAAAATACGTTGACACATAATGTATAAAAAAAATTAGTGTTACTTATTTGTAAAAATTTAAAAACATAGTAAATATGTAGTGTTTGGTCAAAAAAAATTTCCCTCATAATATAAGAGTAGATAGTGGGTATTTTTAATAATTCAACATGTTTTGTGGTATTATTCACGCGAATGAATATATGTATTGCATACTTACATATTCACTTTCCATTTTACTGCAACTAAATATATACGTCGATACGTGCCTGACTTACCAAACCATCGTATTACCATATAGAGGCAAATAGTTTTACAGAAAACAATTTGCGGTCATCATTTTCTAGCTCTCATCGAATTAAGGCGAGATGGACAGTTACCAATTGCAAAGTATGTTTTCGCAACTGGAACTTTCGCAATAACTGCCATACTATCGAGATATTTATCTTACTTTATAATACTTTATCGATATAATACTGTGAATGAAATCAATATCAATGTTTTTTAATTAAATACAATTAAAAATCGAGTTCAAATCAAAATTAACTGCAAAGTATTATTTAATCACACTAGAACCCACAAAAAACTTATAAAGGGCGTAAGTTTAAATAGATTCCAAAAATTTGCAAAGGAAATGAAAATCTATTGAAGAAGCAAAATCTGCTGTTTTTGGTGGAGGATTTTGATAAAGGATTTATTTACCGGTTTATAATTATTATTATTCTGTTGATAGGAAAGTGCCAATTCTTGGCATATAAGCCCAAAATTATAAGCCAGACTATTATGCATCTACAAAAGGAATAGATGCTCTTTTGTTACCATTATGGAGCAGGAACTACTTTTAAACTTGATTTAGAAAAATCGTACACACATTTTATCCTGCGTAATAAAAAACGAGGATAGCTCCTAATTACGGTTCCTAAATATTGTAAGAGTGAAGATCTCGAACTAAATCATTTAGTTCAGATTGTTGGGTGAAATTAGGTCCTTTTTCGTCGATTTTGGGAAAATAAGAATAAGTCTTGTCTGATACAGCATCTGGTTAACTTTTATCATAATCAACATTTCCGAATTTTTATCCCAATCTGCCGAAGGTACTGGGACTGGTAAGTATTCTCCATGAATAACTGGTTTTATTGCTGAGAAAATATCTATATATTCAATTCTATGCTTGCTCGTCATTAAAAACCCAGGCACTTTTGTTATGCAGAAGTAACAATCGTTAAAATGAAGTGTTGGTTTGCGCCATATCATCGGAACTGCAAACGACATTAGTAAAATGCGTTTGCCATTTAACCAATTACTTATATATACTGCACAGGTTTGGCAACAAATGTAAGGAGCCCAGTCCTGATCTTGATCGCCAATAAGACATTTAAAATACTTATGGTACTACAGTAGTGACAGAGCCGTGAATAGTGAACAGTGTAGTAGTGTCTGGGGGCTCGAGAGACTGAGACCTCGGAAGCCATCAGAGAGGATGCCGAAAGCTTGGCAAAATGAATATCGACGCGGTTCAACCCGGAAGACTGGTGAGTTTGATATTAATTGTAGTAATAATATTAATCTTAGCTCTAGTTTTTATTGTACTAACCGCGGAAATATTTCAGAACATATATATATATATATATATATATATATATATATATATATATATATATATATATACCTTTTACAAAGGATTTTAACAAAATATTTTTTACTGGTAATTAGTTTAACTATTTCTTAATTTAGTTTATAAATAAAATATTTTGATTATGACTTTAATTTAATACAAAACGTAAAATTATTTATGTAAAATCCAATTATTTTGTTATTTTGTCAAATCTTACTATTAAACATCCTGCTGATATATTTATTTTATTTAATATTTCGTTAACTATTAACTTTATTAAAGCCATATTATACCAAAATTCGAAAGCATTGATGTTTTTGTTTAATTTTCTTTCGTTTCCTATAGTAATTGCGTTAAATCAGAATTATGTAGTTGATTTGTAAAATGCAATTATCTCTAAAACTGTTGAGTTTTGAAGTTATTAACAAGTATACCTTTTTTTTGTCAAAATAATGTTTTTTAAATGTTTTTTATCACAAACACCAGTAACTTTATGAGCAAAAAAGTTACGTGCAAATGTATGATGCATATGTGGCATATGTGGCGCACTCTATAAGCTACATTGACGTGTGCATCAAATTATAATTTCTGATGCTCAATAGTACCCAGTTATGAATGTTTATACATAAATGTTAACAAACATGAAAGTTAGAGCAAAAATTAAAATTTTAAATTTCCACTTTAACACCCTATATCTTTCTTAATATCAACATTTTATTAAAGCAATTTTGCTTAAGTCGTAATATTTTAAAGTGCAGAATCTACAGTTTCTTTTTGTACAATTACTTAAGGACCACCATGTATATTACAAATAAGTGTTTTAAATTTTTTTTTATTAAAGTCCTAATATTTTTTTTTTATGAAAAGTCAACTCAAAAAAATCTTTAGGAAGTTTTTACCGTCATATGTTCATAGAGCAACAATTAACAAAAAACATCATTTTGAATTGGAGTAGCAAATTGGTTGTAAACTTGTGATCATTTTTCCATACCTACAAATTTT